AAAGCAATACAGGCCTACCTCAACAAAGAAGAAAAATCTCAAACAAGCAATCTTAAATTACACCTAACAGAACTAGAAAAAGAACAACAAACAAAGTCAGCAGAAGGAGGAAAATAATAAAAATTAGAGCAGAGGTGGCCGCCTGGTGGTGCAATGGTTAAGTTTGCATGGTCTGCTTTGGTGGTCTGGGTTTCCCAGTTCAGATCCCAGGTGCAGACCTATGCACAGCCTGTCAAGCCAATGCTGTGGCAAGCATCCCACATATAAAGTGGAGGAAGATGGGCCTGGATGTTAGCTCAGGGCCAATCTTCCTTGGCAAAAAAGAGGAAGATTGGCAGCAGATGTTAGCTCAGGTCTAATCTTCCTCAAAAAAAAAAACAAAAACAAAAAAACACCAAATTAGAGCAGAAATAAATGAAATAGAGACTGAAAAAAACAATAGAAAGGATCAATGAAACTAAGAGCCGATTCTTTGAGAAGACAAATAAAATTGACAAACCCTTAGCCAGACTCACCAAGAAAAAAGAGAGAAGGCTCAAATAAATAAAATCTAAAATGAAAGAAGAGAAATTATAAAAGACACCACAGAAATACAAAGGATTATAAGAGAATACTATGAAAAACTATATGCCAACAAATTGGACAACCAAGAAGAATTGGATAAATTCTTAGACTCATACAACCTCCCAAAACCAAATCAAGAAGAAATAGAGAATCTGAATAGACCAATCACAAGTAAAGAGATTGAAATAGTAATCAAAAACCTCCCAAAAAACAAAAGTCCAGGACCAGATGGCTTCTCTGGAGAATTCTACCAAACATTCAAAAGATTTATTACCTATCCTTCTCAAATTATTCCAAAACATTGAGGAAGATGGAATGCTTCCTAACTCATTCTATGAAGCCAACATTACCCTGAGACCAAAACCAGTCAAGGACAACACAAAGAAGGAAAATTACAGACCACTATCACTGATGAACACAGATGCAAAAATACTCAACAAAATATTGGCAAATTGAATACAGCAATACATTAAAAGGATCATACTCCATGATCAAGTGGAATTTATACCAGGGATGCAGGGATGGTTCAACATCCGCAAATCAATCAATGTGATACACCACATTAATAAAATGAGGAATAAAAATCACATGATCATCTCAATAGATGCAGAGATAGCATTTGACAAGATCCAACATCCATTTATGATAAAAACTCTCAGTAAAATGGGGATAGAAGGAAAGTACCTCAATATAGTAAAGGCCATATACGACAAAACCACAGCCAACATCATACTTAATAGTGAAAACCTGAAAGTCATCCCTCTGAGAACAGGAGCAAGACAAGGGTGCTCACTCTCACTACTCCTATTCAACACAGTACTGGAGGTTGTGGCCAGAGCCATTAGACAATAAAAAGAAATAAAAGGTATCCAAATTGGAAAGGAAGAAGTAAAAGTTTGCAGATGACATGATTCTATATATAGAAAACCCTAAAGAATCCACCAGAAGACTATTAAAAATAATTAACGACTACAACCAAGTCGCAGGGTACAAAATCAACTTAGAAAAATCAGTTGCATTTCTACACATTAATAATGAACTAGCAGAAAGAGAAGTCAAGAATACAATCCCATTTACAATGGAAAGAAAAATAACAAAATATCTAGGAATAAACTTAACCAAGGAGGTGAAAGACCTACACACTGAAAAGTATAAGACATTATTGAAAGAAATCAAAGAAGACATAAAGAAATGGAAAAATACTCCATGCTCATGGACTGTAAGAATGAAGATAGCTAAAATGTCCGTATTACCTAAAGCAATCTAGATTCAATGCAATAGATTCAATGCAACCCCAATCAGAATCCCAATGACATTCTTCACAGAAATACAACAAAGAATCCTAAAATTTATGTGGAACAACAAAAGATCCTGAATACCCAAAGCAATCTTGAGACTAAAGAACAAAGCTGGAGGCATCACAATCTCTGACTGCAAAATATATTACAAAGCTACAGTGATCAAAACAGCATGGTACCAGCACAAAAACAGGCACACAGATCAATGGAACAGAATTGAAAGCCCAGAAATAAAACCACACATCTATGGACAGCTAATCTTTGACAAAGGAGCCAAGAACATACAATGGAGAAAGGAAAGTCTCTCTAATAAATGGTGTTGTGAAAACTAGTCAGCCACATGCAAAAGAATGAAAGTAGACCATTATCTTATAACATACACAAAAATTAACTCAAAATGGATTAAAGACATGAATGTAAAACCTGAAATGATAAGACTCCTAGAAGAAAATATAGGTAGTACACTCTTTGACATCAATGTTAGCAGCATCTTTTTGAATACCATGTCTACTCAGGCAAGGGAAACAAAATTAAAAATAAACAAATGGGACTACAACAGACTAAAAAGCTTCTGCAAGGCAAAGCAAACCATGAATAAAATGAAAAGACAACCCACTAACTGGGAGAAACTATTGCAAATCATATAACCAACAAGGGGTTAATCTCCAAAATATATAAAGAACTCACACAACTCAACAACAAAGAAACAAACCTGATCAAAAAATGGGCAGAGGATATGAACAGACATTTTTCCAAAGATATACAGATGGCCAACAGGCACACGAAAAGATGTTCAACATCACTAATTATTAGGGAAATGCAAATCAAAACTACAATGAGATATCACCTCACACCCCTCAGAATGGCTACAATTAACAAGATGAGAAATAATAAGTGTTGGAGAGGATGTGCAGAAAAGGGAACCCCCACACACTGCTGGTGGGAATGCAAACTGGCGTAGCCACTATGGAAAACAGTTATAGAGATTTCTCAAAAAATTAAAAATAGAAATGCCATACGATCCAGCTATCCCACTAATGGGTATTCATACAAAGAACATGAAATCAACAATACAAAGAGATCTATGCACCCCTATGTTCATCGCAGCATTATTCAATATGTGGAAGCACCCAAGTGCCCATGATGAATGGATAAAGAAGATGTGGTATATATACACAATGGAATACCACACAGCTGTATATATAAAAAAAAGACAAAATCGTCCCATTTGCAACAATATGGATGGACCTTGGGTGTAAGGGAAATAAGCCAGACAGAGAAAAACAAACACTGTAGATTTCACTCATATGTGGACGGTAAACAAGCACATGGATAAAGAGAACAGATTAGTGGTTACCAGGGGGGAATGGCATCAGGAGGTGGGCGAAAGGGGTAAAGGGGCACATATATAAGGTGACAGACAAAAACTAGACTATTGGTGGTGAGGACGATGCAGTCTATACAGAAACTGATACATAATAATGTACACCTAAAATTATACAATGTTATAAACCAATATGACCTCAATAAAATAATTTTTTAAAAACAGAACTAAATAAAAATTATTCTTAAAAATTAAAGTAAATCAAATAAATGAACCTAACTATGTATCAGGTTGGTGGCATAAGCACACAAAAAAGTATTATTTCAAATATCTTAAAACACAATGTTTTCAACTGTACATACCAAATTGGATGTAGGTGAATACCTGAGGATAGAAAGAACCACAGAGAAAGCTCAAATAGCATTCACTGATTTTTACTGTCGGTAGTAATATCAGTACTACAATTTTGAAATACCTAGCATGCAGATTTTGGTCTCTCAATACCATTTACCACTAAAAGGAACCAGAGTTCCTTGGGAAATAATTGAGTCCAAGTTTGGGGTAAAAAATGTACAAAATGATCCTCGAGGATCTTATAGAACTAGAAACACAAGGAAGTTATAAACAACTATTGAGGGGCTGGCCTGGTGGCGCAGTGGTTAAGTTTGCATGTTCTGCTTCGGTGGCCTGGTGTTCACCAGTTCGGATCCCAGGTGCGGACATGGCACCACTTGGCAAGCCATACTGTGGCAGGCATCCCACATATAAAGTAGAGGAAGATGGGCATGGATGTTAGCTCAGGGCCAGGCTTCCTCAGCAAAAAGAAGAGGATTGGAAGCAGTTGGCTCAGGGCTAATCTTCCTCAAAAAAAAAAAAAAAAATTATCATTTTGTAACCTCTAAAGAAATAATGGGTCTAGGCAATTATCATCAATGGATTCTAAACCTATTAGGTGAAAGGTAAATGGGGAATCCTATAATGTAGGGATCTTAATATCACTAAAAGTGGGCCAACCAGACATTTGCCCCCTGATGGGATGCAGTGGGAAGTACACAGCACCAACTATGCAGTCTTGTTGCCAACAGAACAAAACAAAACACCCTGAATCTCATCAAGCCTCTAGATGGAACTACCAGTTTATAGGAAATATGGGGGACAGAGGAACAAGTTAAAATACACCACCAGAAAGCAATCGGCCAAAAACAGAAGATGGGAAACTTACAGGGCAAATTATTGATTTCTTCAAACAAATAAATGGTCTAAAACAAGAAGTAGGAGAAGGGGACTGTTATAGATCAACCAAATGCAACGTGTGGACCTTGTTTGGATCTTGAGGAAAACAAACCAATTTTGCAAAGGCATGTTTTGGCACAACGGAAGAAATCTGAACATGGACTGGATATTACATAATATTAATAAATTATTGCTAATTTTATTAGATGCGATAATGATTTGTGGCTATGTGGGGAAGGGAGGTCCTTTCTTATTACAGATACATATTGAAATATTTACCTGTGAAATTTTATGTTGGGTCGGGATTTAAAATATTCCACTAAAAAAAAAACGGCAGAAGGATAGATGAAACAAGATTGGGGTTCTTTATACCATACTATCTACAAGCTTTATATTTATTTTGCTTTGTTTTAAGATTGAATGATTCGGGACAGAACAGTTAATCCCAAGGAAACCGAAGGAAGGAAATCATTTGAAAGACACTTTTCCTGCAGTGGGGATTTCCAAACTGAGTTGCGGTCTTCAGGGCAGGTGAACCCCGCCCCCTGCACCTCCGAGCCTCCCCTCCCCTGCGTACTCACCTGCTGCCGTGGACGCGGCAGGACTGGGGCTGGAAGGAGGGGGGCAGAGAGGTCTGGTCATCCTCGAAGGAGATTTGGTCGCCCAGAAAGTCAGGGCCGGAGAAAAGCTGAATCTAGGGGCAGAGACAGAAAGAGATGAGAATGAAGGAGGGTCATGGAGACCGAATGGGGAAGAGCGGGAGAGATTTGAAATGAGGGAAGAGGAGACACAGGCTCCCACCAGCTCCTTACCTTCGAGACAAAGTGCAGGTTGTGCTCCCCGACCTGAAGGGAAGGACCAAATTTTCGAGACTTAAGGAAAGTACCAGCTCCTAACCTCAGCTCCTCTGGTTTCGATATTCCGGACCCTAGGGCAGCTCTCCCCAACTCAGGTCTTCATTAGCCCCGCCCCTCCCAGAGCCCCCGCCGCCCTGCGAGCCGCCAGCGTGGTCCTCCCAGTCCCGCCCCCTGCGATGGGAGCATCCCTGACTCCAAGCCCCGCCCGCTAAGAGGCCCCGCCCCTGCGGCGGGCACGCACCTGCAGCACCGGCTGCAGCGAGGCGAGGGCGCTGTTGCCCGCGCCCCAGTCGTCGCAGTTGCGGTACACGCCTTTCTCCAGCACGTACTGCTCTCCGGAGAAGCCCACCTCCTCATAGGCCACCCACCTGCAGGAAGGGCGGGGCGGGCGTCAGCGGGGCGGAGCCGGCGCCTCGGCTGGAACAGCCCACGGCCCGCCCGGAGTCCGGGTCACTCACACGCCGCTGAGCACGTGGATAGCCTGCGTGCAGGGGCCGTGTTGCACCAGCTCCACGTCCGGCAATGCCTCGCTCACCTCCACGCTGGGCCCCTCGAAGTCCATGGCCTCAAACAGTACCACGGCCGGGTCCCCGAAGTCCTGGGCCCCAAGGACAGTCAGGTCTCTCCCGCCCACTGACGGGAACCCCTGGGAGTGCCCAGACCCCAGGGATGCAGCCCACCAGGGGACTTTGGGGTGAGGCGATCAGTGTGACCTGGGGAAGAGCAGCAGGAAGAGGAGAGGCTAGACCTCGGGGAACACTTCCAGGTGCTCTGGAGAACAGGAGAGGGGGTACAAATACTTCCCTCAACAGACTGTTCCAGGGGCAAGTCTGGCTGTGGCCAGAGGCAGAGGGATGGCCCATTTGCCCTTGCTTACCGTCCGGATGACCCGCAGGGAGGTCAGCGCCTTGTCATAGCCTCCCCAGTGTGACCAATCAGCATATTCCCCCTCCTCCAGCAGATACTGGTGGCCCCGGAAGCCCTCCTTCTCGTAGCCCACCCAGCTGGGGGAAGGGAGAGGACACACACAACTGATCACAGAAAGCCGTCGGATGGGTAAGGCAGCTGCCCCCACCTCTGGGCAGCCCAGGTCACTCCCCACCCCCAAGGGTAGAGGCTAGTGGGGAAGATGAGGGAGAAGGAAGGGTCCTGAGTCCTCACCAGCCCCCAAGAATTCGCAGGGACCCCACAGAGGCCAGGTCGGGGCTCTGGCTGTCTTCTGGCTGCTGAAGGTTGTAGATGTCTCGACTCACTTCCCAGCTGCGGCCCTGAAACCCTGGGGCCTCATAAACCACAGCCTGGGGGAATGGGGGGTGTCAGATTAGTGGGGAGTGATCTGGATCCAAACACACCCAGCCAGCTCAGGATGGCTCTGCCCAGCATCAGCCCAGAGCTAAGCCCTCCCACTGCCTCACTGGGCCCCATCCCTTCACTAAGCCCTATGACCTTACCTAACTCCTATCCCTATTCTGACCTCTGACCTGGTCTTTACACATCAAAAGCCAATTCCCAATGAGTCCATCGGTTCTACCCTCCCAGACCCAGCTTCTGGCCCCCAGCACCCTCTTCTCCTGTCTTCCAGTCCAGGCCACAATAGCCACACACATACCCACCCCGCCCACAGGCCCTCTTTGACCCTGAAGCCCAGACTCTTACCTTGGGCTCCCCTGGCTTCTCCACACTTGGGCAGCCCTGGAGAAGAGACAGGGTTGAGACCAGCCCAGAGGTAGGGGAAGACACATGGGGCTGGGACCTAGAATTTACTTGATCTGACACCCCTAAAAACTACCGCCCCCATGTCCTCCCTCTGCCCCACCACCTTGGCTAATCCCCCCTCTCCTCCAAACCCATTCCCAATAGGAGCTGCCAGGCCCTGCATCTTCCCCCTGACTATAGGCTACTTGGGACCACCTGCTCCTTACCAATCTTATGGGCTTCAGGGAGCCCACGCTGGGGTCTGACGTACCCCAGGCCTCTGAGGTGGGGTATTCTCCAGGCTCCAGGATACAGGGGATGTCTTCAAAGAAAGGTTTGGGGTACAGCAGCCACCTGGGGGGAGGCAGAGGCCATTGCATCCCAGATGCCCAGGGACACAGATTGGTGGGTGAGGGGGAAGGTTTAGAGGAGAGAAGGAGGTTTGGGGGAGAGATGCCCATCAAGGGGACTCTGGAGGACATTTCACACCACCGTAATCTCTTATAGTAGCTACTCCATCTGTCTCCCTTCCTCTGGCCTGGCTGTCTCTAATTTCACACAGCAGCTGGAGAGTTCTTTCTAGCACACACACCTGCTTAAAAACACCCCAGTAATTCCTCAGAATAAATCCAGCTGCACAGAGACCCTGTGATCCAGCCCCTGCCCTCCGCCTGGGCCTCATATCTCCCCACGTGCTGCTTACACCGGCCAGACTGAACTTTCCAAGCTTAGATCTCGCACCTCTGGACCTTTGCAGGACCTGTTCCCTCTGCTAGATATACTTTTTCCCCCATTCATTCAATTAACAAATGTTTAGGGGCATCTACTCCGTGCCAGGCCCTGCTTCAGGCATCAGGGATACAGTAATGAACAAAACATACAAAACCCTGCCCTCATGGAGCTTAGATTCTTCTGGTTCCAACTCATTCTCAGAGCTGAGGTGTCTCCTCCTCCAGGAGGGCTTCTCTGACCTCAGGCTGCTTTGGTGCGTTTCTGTGCTCACTGAACCCTGTGCTCCCCCGTCCCAGAACTCTGGACTGCCGCTGTCTGCTTACTTGCCTGTCCCCACCAGTAGACTGAGCACTTATGTGTCCTGTCACCTCTGTGTCCCCAGCACCCAGCAGACTGAATGTTAAATGAAGGGACTCCAGAATAGCCCAGACTCACAGTCCTGTGGAGACAATGGCAGATGCCACCTGCAGGGGCTTCTTCAGGCCCTGGAGGTCCTCCAAGACCTCGGTTAGCTTCACTTCCTCCCCCTTGAGGCCCTCCTCAGAGTACAGGCAGATCTGTGGGGTAATGTAGTCCTGCAGGAGAGGGGTAGAAACAGGCAGTGTAAACAGGCCCCCTCAGAGACTACCCCCGCCCACACCTGCTTCCCCAAGTCTATCCAGCGGGCCTCCAGGGGGCTTCTGGGAAACCTTTGTGGCTGTCTCCCCAGAAGCAAGCAAGGGGGACTGGGGTGTTCTCTGCAAGGTCAGCCAGACAGGCCTGAGATTAAAGCCCTTGCTGGTCCCACGCTGGGCCTTTGGGACCTGAGACCAAAGTTCCCAGCAGGAGCCTGCACGTCCCATGCCCTTCGCCTTGCCTCTGGGTAGCCTGCTTTCCAGCCTGGAGGAGGGACCAGTGGGAGGGACAGCCGCTCCCTGAGGTCTAACTTTAACCCTGCCGTTGTACATAATTCCTACCCCTGTTCAGACTGACTACCACCTGCACCTCATCCCAGGAAGCAGCAGGTCCTCTCTGCATTCTGGGTGTTTCTTCCTCACTAGCACCATTTTCATTCACTCACTCCTTCATCAAATGTTTATGAAGCATCTACTGAGTGCAGGACACTGTGCTAATGGCATGTCCTACCCCATCCATTTGGTCCTCCCAACAGGAGTTATTACTCCATTCACAGACTGGGAAAGTGAGGCTCAGCAATGTTAAGCAGCCTGCCAGAGGGGACACAGCCTGTAAGTAGCAGGGCCAAGAACAGAGCAGTGTAGTTTTGTTCACGGTTGCAAGCCAGCACCTCCCACGTGCTTGGAAGACCCTAGGCACCCAGTCAGTGCTGAACGAATCAAGTGAATGTGGGTCCGCCTGACTTCAAAGCCCTTGTTTTTCTCTTGTAGCTTGTTATCTCCCACACAAAGAAGAATTTATTGTGAGAGGCTCACAAATTGTCCACAAACATTTGTGTCTTTCTGGAGAGGCTTTAAAAATTCTTGTCCCCTCCTTTGCGTGGCTGGGCCACTGCCCTAGTTAAGACTCATCAGCTCTCGTCCTCTCTCACCAGGAGGATGGCAACAGCTCTGGACTCAGAGTTATTCGTCCTTTCATTAAAAAGAAAAAACTCAAAACATCTGATCAGCCCAGCTTTTATAATTATTGGTTTCTCTTCTGCTTTTCCCTAGTGGCCGAGATGATTTTGTCAAGCTTACTTTCAGTTGTTTGTAAATTTGTGTTATGAAAACAGTATTGTTTTTTCCCACTTTACAGATATGAAACTATAATATTGATTATGCCTTTTCAAACCACACAGCCCTTCCTCAAAATTCAGAGGTGCCCCTCAGCTGGAAATCATCACTTTTCCTGGTCTTCCTGCCTTCGAGATCCCTATCCAGCCTTTTCTCCTGGCAGTTGGAAAGATGTTTATAAATCCCCAATCTGGTTCTATGGCTTTCCTGCTTCAAACCCAACCCTCATACCCTAGTTGGACCATGAGTCCTGCAGGGCAGAGAGTAGGTTTCCCCTACCCCCTCATTGGCAGGCGTGGTGCCTGGCACAAAGCAGACCTTAATGAGCATCTGTGAGCCAATGACGGAACAAACATCCGTGGTACCTTGGGTCTGATGTGGGCCTGAAAGCCTGGGTCCTGGGGGTGAGCGAGCACCCACATTCACCCTTACCCGTTTCTGCAGCTCTAATCCAATCCTTTTCCAGCGCCAGCTCAAACTGCCCCAGGCTGCTTTCCCAAGCTGGGGCTTGGCCTCTGCCTGGCCACTGCCTTCCTAAGCCAGGCTGAGCATCCTCCAGAAGCCCTTTGTTCCCCAGTTGGCGCCGAGGTCAGGGATCTATGAGTGAGTCCATAATAAACCCCTTCTGTTCCCTACCCCATATGATCTCTCCCACAGATTCCAACTCTAGGCACCTGAGGCTGTCTCTCTTCTCAGGGCCCGGGGCCCAGGGTAGTCAGCGCAACATCTGGGCCCTCACCCCCAGCCTGCTCACCCGGACAACCCTCCTCAGGGAACCGATGCCTTGGGTACTCCACACTTGCCCCTGGGTTCCGAGTTCCACATCTCCTTCTGGCAGGACCAGCTTCCGGCCCCGGAACTCTGGCTCTTCATATAGCACCCAGCTGCGGGCACAGAGACCCACAGTCACTGGGTGGGGAGAGGATGTACCCACAAAGCAGGATCTCTGGGTAGCTGAGGGGGTTTCTGCAAAGTCAACCTAGGTAGTTCTAGGTTGGCCCTTGCATCCCCCAGCTTCACACACAGGACCCCTGCTGGGCACTCTGCACTCACCAGCCTCGCACCACCCTTATGGAGGCAACAGGGGCCCAGCTGGAAGCATCAGCGATGTCTTCCCAAACCTCCCTGCTGCTGCCTTGGCAGGTGGGCTCCGAGAAGAGGATCATCTGGAGGAGGCACAGTAGGAGTCCTCAGACTCTGTCCTCAGGCTCCTGCCTCCTGCTGGCCCCGCCCACTGCCCCTGACCCCTACCTTTCCAGGCCTGGTGTTCAGCTTGCCCTGGGTCTTCAAGGCTGGGCTCTGGAATGGAGGGCAGTGATAATAAGTCTTATGGGGTTGTCTTCTTCCTGCCTCCCACCACCTGCCATTCCAGGGACCCAACATCCTCCTGATTGGCCTCCACCTCCAAAGAGCTGGCCCACAGCGGCCTCATCACCCTGTCCCAGGAGTTGGGTGCCTATTGCTCCCCTTGCCCCACTGCCAAGCTATCAGAGCCACCAAGCCCTTTGGAATCCACAGTGCAAATCTCCACCTGTTTGGATAGGGAGACTGAGGCCCAGAGAAACGTGGTCACACAGAACTAGACATCAGACCCAAGCCTCTGGCCTCTGGACACTCTGCCTCCCAGTACCATTTTCCTCACACCATCCAAACCCTGGCCCAGGTGAAGCCAGGTGCCCTCCCTTGTCCACCCAAGTCCTCACTCACCCACCCCTCCGGGAGCCGGGCACATGTGCGCTTCTCTGGTGGTGGCCTTTCGCTGCAGAGCAGGGGTAGCTGTCCTGGCACCTTCCTGAGCCCTGGTGCCCCATGGGGAGGCAGAGCAGATAGTTTTGTGCCCAGTGGTTCCAAGGTGGGGGCCTCCTTGGTAGCAGACACCAGACCACCAAAAAGAAGGCTGCCTCCAAGACGGGAAGTGGGCCTGCTGCCTGCCTGGCACTCTGGCCCCAGCTCTGGGTGGGGGCCCTTGGCACCTGCCATGTGCTTCTTCATCATCTCCAGAGGAGAGCAAGACGCCTGGGGGGGCCTGGCCGGGCGGGAGTCCCAGGAGGGGCTGGGCCCGGCTTTCTCCTGCCTGCGCTGGAGCTTCTCGTCGTCACTCAGGTAGGGGTTCTCTGGTTCTTCCTCCTCCTCCTCCTCCTCCTCCTCCTCTTCCTCTTCCTCCCCCTTTTCTTCCAGTGTAGGCACCTCCTGGGGGCTGGGTCCCAGCACCCATGGCCCAGGCTGGTCCTCCTCGATGGCGGGCAGTGTGGCGTACATGGCCAGGTAGGAGGAGCGAGGAGCTCGTGGCAGCCGGTGAGTGCGGAGGATCTCGGGGGGCTCCATGCTCCGTAGGGTATCCAGGAAAATCTCCAGGTCAGTGGCCAGGGCCATCTCCTCCTCTCTCGATGGTTCTGGGAGGGTCTTACCCTTGGTGGAGTCAGGAACAAGCTGGGACTCCAGGCTGGCCTCTGCTCCCACTGGCACTGGGACAGGGGGGCCTCCTGGGCTGGGGGACACTTTGTCCACTGAGGAGCAGGGAGGAGGGATAACAGCAGGACAACCCTGGACAACCACTTTCTGGGTGGGAAATGGGGCAGCAGAAGCACCAGGGCCCTGGACAACCTCTTTTGGGGTGGGATATGATATGGGACTCTCTTCAGAGCCCTGGACAACCTTATCCTTTTGGGGGGATGGGATAGCAGGAGCAGCCAGGCCTTGAACAGCCTCTTCCTTGGTGAGGGAAGAGGCAAGGCTGCCTTCAACACCTTGGACAACCTCTTTTTGTGTGGGAGATGATATGGGGCTCCCTTCAGAGGCCTGGACAACCTTGGTTGGGGGTGAGGCAGTAGGAGCACTAGGACCCTGCACAACCTCTTTCTGGGTGGGAGGTGAGGCAGCAGGAGCACTAGGACCCTGCGCAACATCCTTCTGGGTGGGGGATGGGTCAGCAGGACGACCAGGGCCCTGCACTACCTCTTTTTGGCTAAGAGAGAAGGTAGGGACATCTTCAGAGTTCCGAGTGACCTTACTTCTTGGGGAGGATGGAGCGGACAGACCTCCTCGGCTGGGCACAGCCTTCCTTCTTGTAGAGGATGGAACAAGAGGTTGACCAGGGACCGTAACAACCTCACTCCTCACCATGGGCAGGAGGGTGGCAGCAGGGGGATCCGTGAGCCCTTCCATTTTTACAGAGGGCAGGGCCTGGGGTCCCCTGGGCTCGAGAGTGATCTGACCCCTGGGGTGAGTGGGCACCACAGGCTGCTCTGGGGGGTGGACTAGGCCCAGGGAGGGGTTATGGGTCTGGAGCCGGGGAGAGGAGGGTACTGGCACATGACCCTGAGAGGTCTGGAAAGGGAGTTGGGTGGGGCTGGAGGCTCCCTGCATCCTTGGGGACTCATGGGCCCTGGCGTCTGGGGCTTTGACCTGGTCTTGGTCTGGGTGGGCTGCAGGGACATCCTGGTTCTGCGGTGGATGAGCACCTTCTGGGATGCCTGCAGGAGCCAGGGCATCTCTGTCCTTTGGCACTGCTGTCCCTGTCTCAGGTAGCTGCCCCAGGGCTTCACCTACTGAGCGACCCAGACCTGGACTCCTTGGCACAACAGCCATGGGCCTAGGAAGCTGGCCGGTAGGTGGGCTACGCTCAGCAGGCACCAGGCTACTTAGCAGCTCCAGGGCCTGACTGCGGCTGGGTGAGCCCTCAGCCTGGGGCCTCACCACCACTGCCCGGACTGTGCGGGCAGCGTTTCGCCCCCTTGGCAGGGCCTCACCCGAGAGCGTTGGCCCCACGGTCACAGAGCTGTTCACCCGTCGGTCCACGTGCCCTCCCATCACCATGGTGGTCCGCACAGTGCGTGTCACCCGCCGTTCCTCAAGGCTCCGAGGGCTCCCACTGATGTGACTCACACCTGGGTGGGGGCTTGGTTCACGGGGCCCAGGCAGAGGCACCGAGTACTCAGTCCTAGCCATGGCTCCTGGGCTTGGTGGCTCAGTCCTGGGGTCTTGGGAGCTGCCATCCACCTGGTCCACAGCCTCCTTCAGCCTCCCTACTGGCCTTTTCTCCTTGGGGGGTGGTGTGTACTTCCTGGAAAAGATGGGCCCGTGGCTCTGGAAGCTCTTGGAGCCACCCCCATCCTGGGGGCCCTGGTAATTCACAGTCTCTTCTTCCCGTGTAGCAAAGCCATTGACTTCCTCTCGATGGTGGCTGTCCTCAAACATCTCCTCTTGAGGGGCTTCCACCTGGGCCCCTGACACCAGAGACACCTTGCGAAAACGGTGTCTAATCTCTTCCTGGGCAGGGGGCCGCTGCCGCCATGTCAGCGTGGCACTCACCACTCGGGCCTCAGTCCGAGCCGGGGGCCCACCTGCCTCCTCCATGTTGGGCCCCCGCAACCTGTCTTGAGGTGTCCTTGGCACACTGTGGTCCAGCTCCCTGCAGATGGTGCCAGGAAGAAGAGGGACAGGGTCACGGGTGGTGAGGGTGGCTCTCGGCATTGCAGACTAACTACCCCTGCCGAGGTCAGGCTGGGGAACCTCAGGCAAGCCATTTGACCTTTTGGGCCTTTGTTTCTTCATCTATAAAATGGGCATGGTTCTCTCAGCTCTCCCACCCGTGTCCCCACTTTCAGATGATTCCCTATGCCAGGGTCTTTTAAGAGGTGCAGCTGAGGCCTGAGCCTGGAAGAGAGAGAAGGGAGAGCAAAAGCATATGGGTCTGATGCACTGGTGTGTGGATGGGGCTGTGACTCTGCCCAAGGAGCCGAGTCTAGTCCTCCAGGACCTGAAGATGAGAAAACCAGAAAGCTGAAAACTAGGCAACTGTTCGGACTCCATTCCCGATCATTGGAAGGGAAGGGAAGGGAAGACCGGCTTTGCCCTCAGGCAAAGCTGGGCCCCCTGGCCCTGTCACTCACTAGCTGGATGACCTTGGGCAGGCCAGTTCTCCCGAAAAAGCTTCAAGGCCCCCAGCCACAAAACTGGAATACTAAGAGTATGTGCTTCATAACGTTACTGTCAGGATTCAGCAGGAGAGAAGGAAGGAAAACTCGCTCTATAAACTAAAACACTGGCTCACAAATTTCCCACGGTCACCTTGGAGAATTGTGACCAAAGGTTAGCAGGTGTGCACACGTGTGAACTGGCATGAGCACCTGGGGAGAACTGTCTGAGCGTGCGTGCACGTATGTGTGCATCTGCGGGGCTGAAGGAAGCCCCTCAGGACCCGGCACTTTGGACTTGAATGCACTTTCCCTCAACTCCCTCCTCTGTGATTATTTCCCCCATTGTACAGAGGAAGAAACTGAGGGTCAGAGAAGAGGCGTGACAGCCCCGGGTTATGTGGCTGCTAAGTTGCCAAGCTGGAGTTTGAATTCACATCTGAATCCATGTCCAGGCACCTTTTCTCCTGCTCCCTCAGCCAAGGTTCTCAGCACATCCAGCTATTCCTGTGATCCCCTGGGCAGAGCACACCTCACCTTCACTCCTTGAGGGTGGGGCCTGGGTCTTACTTCTTTTCTGACCCGCCCTTGATCTCTCTGGGGCTCCATTATCTCCTTTACTAAACAGGGGGTTAATAATAACAGCTGCCTGAGAAGACCTCTAAGCTCCCTAGAAACTCTCTAGTGAGTCTGTTTTAATAGTAATAACAACAAGAGCCATCTGTTGAGGGTTTCCTCTGTGCCAAACATCTTGCTAATGGCTTTATGTGATTGTCCTATTGAATTCTCAAAAGCATCCCATGCATTTGATACCTCATAAACAATAAATTATTAATAAATTATAAACAAACATTCCATTTTTGCAGATGAGGCAAAAAAGGCTCAGAGAGGTTAAGAAACGTGCTCAGAGTCACACAGTAGCAGAGGCCAGACTTGAACCCCAACACTAAGTGCTTCACCACCATACCAAACTTCCTAATGGATTTATCTGGTAAACAGACTCTATGGTTTGGAGGTTTACTTTTAAAAGGGGTCATGGTAGTCCTGGAAGGACCACTCAGCTCCAACTCTTACTTCTAGGCTGCACTGACCAGGGCAATCCTATTCTTAGACTGCAAGGACCAGAGAGGTCAGGCTGTTCACGCCCAGCCTCAGGGCCAGCCTGTCTTCCGGTCTGCTCCTCCTCTCCATAAGGCAGCCCCTAGACCTTATATTATAAGGGAAGTTAGGGCCAGAGATGTGCCCATGCCCCCAACTCCCCTCCTCCATCTCTTCTTTCCTCCTGAGAAGCTGGTGGAACCCAGAACTTTGACCCTGCCCTTGGCCCTAGCCGTGACTCAGGTTTTATGAGGGGCAGAGATGAAAGGGGCTGAGGCCCAGGGAAGCCTGACTTGACTCTGGGAGCACTGGTAGCTATGACAGCATGTGGCCTGGCCCAGGACAGGGTCTGAGTGGCCCTGGAAAAGCCTTGTGTACAGGGAAGGTGGGGGCGGGGGGTGAGAAAGATCCCCAATCCTTCCCCCCAGGCCAGAGTTCTTGAGAGCTGGGCACAGTCAGACATCTGCGGCCCTGGACTGTGGCACGTCACTGAGCCCCCCTCCCCCATCCCCTGTCCTCACTAAGGAGCCCCCTTTCTTCCAGCAGAACCACAGTCCTCCTTGCTGGGACCCTCCCAGTGTGGAGCTTCACCCCCTCCCTGAGCCCCCACTGAGTGTCCTCTCCTTTTCTGAATAACAGTGAGAACAACAACTACTCGCTGGGATTCCTTGTCCCTGGTGGCATTGAGAGTAGGTGGTAGAGCCTGGCTCTAAGTCACTGATGGATTCACTCATTCATTCATTCAGTGCTAATTGTGTTAGGTAATGTGCTGGGCCCTGGTTAGGTTCATCCAAAGCCAACTTTCCCATGCAGGTGGTATCCTAGGGTCCAGGGGTCAAAGAATTAGATATAAGAAAAGGAAGCACATTTGGAAGTCCCCATAGGCTTTGGCAAAACAGCAGAACAGCTTCAAAGAAAGCTGCTGTAGTGGGATCAGATACTGTCAGTGATTTCCCGACAATCAGAATTCAGTGCCTGTCTCAACCCAACCAAGCCCTGACAACACCCCTGCTAGTCACTCATTCCACAGGCATGTGATCATTCACTTCTGCGTGCATACTTCAAGGGACAGAGAGGTCACCATTTCACAGTTGACCTGTCCCATCCCCAGGTAGTCATGACTGCTAGAACGTTCTTCAAACTATGCTGGAATCTGCCTGCCTATAGCTCTCCCGTTTTGTCCTTACTCTGAAGACACACCCCAATGACCCAGGATGCCTCTCCTGGGCCAAGAGAAGTGCCCATTCCCAGAGCCCTCTCTTCTCCAGGGCCCTAGGCCAGAAGTGGATTTGTTGGGATGGTGACCTGTGACTTCCAAACAAGGTGTGTGGGGCTGGGAAGGGAGAGGCTGAGGGGGGGGCGGGGAGAGTGTGGGAAAGAGCCTGATCTAACCCAACAAGTCCTGGATTCTCCCCCCTTACCTGTGAGTCACCCCCAAACTAGGCCAAACCAGTCAACAGGCCCACATGCCTACAAATACATGCTGAGTCACACAGGCACACACTGACACACAGACAGACATGGCACAGAACCACACAGGCACAAAAACACACACAGACACTTACATAGATGTACACAGTCAAACACACACAGAGTCATAGACACTCAGAGACACAGCAGACACACAAGTCACACACTCACAGAAACACACCAACACAATGACATACACATGTGCACATGCACAATACACACACAGTCAATGCATAGCCCCAAGCCCTCCTCCTCTTGAAATGTGCCTGCACTTGAACACACACACATGGATGCATACCTATCTTACACATTCCCACTTGCAGCCCCAATCATGTCCTGCCTCCTCACCCCCCCATATTTGCCCATCCTGGCCCAGAGAACCCGCCCCTAGAAGGGGGACATAGAAGGATGCTGGCCCTGGAGGCCCCCTTCCTCCCTAAGTCAGCCCTCGCCTCCCGTCCGAGTCTATCATTATCCACCTGGGCCCAAAATAGCCAGGGAGTGGCAGGCAGAGTCCTCGTCCCCCCAGCTCCTTCCTTCTCCGTCTCCAAGGCCTGCCTCCTCCGCCCACTTTTCCTCTCTTTGCAGCCCTTCTCCCCAAGGAGGGGCACCCAAGCAGGTCCCTGAGCCAGCCTGGGTCCCACATCTCTCTTTTCCTCGGCACAGAACCGGGTACCCTGACTCCTGCCCAGAGGCCTGGGCAACCCTGATGCTACCTCTGCTAGCACGGTGCTGCCAGATCCACCTCCACGAGGTCACAGAACGCTCTGGGGCCCGCACAGCAACCACACTCAATCCTCCACTGTCTGCACAGGGCCCATGAGGCCCCTGCGAGAGGCAGGATAGAGAAGTGCTTACAGCACAGGCACCAGGGTCCAATTCTGGCCCCTTCACTTTCTTGTTGACTTGGGCAAGTGACGTAACCCCTCGGAGCCTTAGTTTCCCTATTGTAATCAGGGTGTGGGAGCAGGATTAGTCTACTTCATGGGGCTGTTGTGAGGATTAAATAGAATTATGCTTAGAAAACAACCATGAGTGACGGCCACCGCCGTCATCATCAGGGACTTCCCCAGCGCCCCTTCCTGGTGGTACTAGACAAGTTCCACATTCACTCCCCGGCAGTGAGTTTTACAGAACCCATCCAGCCCCCTCTCAGCCCACCAGGCAGACTTGGGAGAGTCATTTCAACACAAATAAAAACCGCGGCTTGGGAATCTCGGCGCCTGTTCCTGTGGCCGCCAACTCAGAGCCAGGTGGGATAATTATTGCCGTGACTGAGGCATTATTAATAAGCATCCCCTGCTATTTCGGCAACCCAACTCTCCGGAGTTCAAAGCATGTTCCTGTAACCACCTCCTCTTTCCTCATCTCCAGCTACCAAATCTACCTGACAACTCAAGGCCCAGAGAAGTTAAGCAACTTGCCCCAGGACACCCAGCACTTTGGCTGGGTGCCTATTCCCAGGCTGAGTCTGTGGTCTCCTGAACAGAACTGGGGAGTGGTGGGTGTTGCTGAGGAGGAGGAGACCCCTGCTCCATCCTTGCCATGACGTGATCTCCCCCTCCTTGAGTGGGCAGGAGAAGAGAGCAGCAGTGAGTTCCAAGAGGGAGTCTGTGGGTGAGGAGAAGGAGAGGAGGGCAGAGTTGGGGCGAGGAGGGGATGGCAGAGTCAGCTCATGCTCAGGTTGCTGAATGAATGGGCCTTGAGTTGGAGAAGCCAGGAGATAAGGCAGAGACCCAAGAAGAGGCAGCCAGGCCAGTCTCCCCTCCCACTGTTGCCCCACGTGGAGACCCACCTTTACTCACCGTCTGTGTGGGGACCCAGGCGTCTGGCTGGCCTGGAGCTCCTGCCGCTGGTCCGTGCTCCCCTGATGCCGTGGGGCTCTCAGCTGGGGCTCCTGGGGCGGGTCGGTCAGCCACCCCGTGATGGGGCGGGGCCCCTGGAGAGGCTCCTGCCAGCCTCTGGATTCCTCAGGGCCGCAGGGGTGGGGAGCTGGTTGGGCCGGTTTCGGCTCCTCACACTCCTCCCCAGGTGCCTGCCCACGCCCCTGCAGGGTGACAGTGATGTGGTAGCGGGTCCTCCTGGTAGAGGGACGCTGGTGTAGGGCCTGGGCTGGCTCTGGCAGGGCTGGCCCTGGGGTGGCAGACTCGCCCTTTGCCCCTTCTGCCATGGGGAAGGATACTGGGCGGGGCAGCAGGACTTCCAGGTTGCCGGGTGGCTCAGGCCTCAGAGGAACCTCTGGGGCTGTGTACGAGGGTGACAGGCAAGTACAGCCTGGGGTTCCCTGTTCCAGATGTCCAGGAGCTGGCACGGGGCTTGAGGGACACCTGGCATCAGCAGGCTCTGCTGAGGCCACTGCCAGTGCCAAGCTCTCTGGCCGCACAGAGGCATAGTTGGCTAGGTCGGAGGCGCTGCCCACAGCTGGCCTCTGTAGGCGCCCCAGGGGCTGAGCAGGCCCCCCTGAGCTGTGTCGTCGCTTCCAAAGCCAGGAACCATGGCTCCCTGCCCGAAGGTCCCATTCTGAGTGGCTCTGGCCTTGGGCCTGAGGGGAATCAGAGACAGGGTTCTGGTGACAGCATCTCCTCCCTGTCCTCCAGGGACCCCCTTAACACTTCTGGCTGCCCTCCTTGGCACAGGAGAAGCTGAGCAGAGCTATGACGCCAAGCAGACACCCTAAGAAGAGGCTGCCGGGGCCACGAGAACTGGAGAAAGGAGCAGAGCTTTAAGAAGCCCTTCAGCATTTAACTCACCCCCCCCCCCCCCCCGATTCTACAGATGAGGAAAGTGAGGCCCAGAGAGGACATGGAGGACTCAAGTCACAGAGTGAGGGCCTAACTCTCAGGCCAGTTGCTGCTTGCCCAGGCGTCCACAGGCCTCTGGCCCTTTGGCACCAGCTGCCCAGGGGATTAGGGGCTGTGTGGGCATGCCTGCCACAAGTGCCCATGGGCTCTGCCTGCTCCAGGCTTCCAGAGAGCCTCAGCCACCTCCCCAGCACCCTCCTAGCCCGAGATTCCCAAGCACACCTGGGAGGAAGTACCTGGGCATAGAGATGTACCTGGGACATGAAGGAGCCAGGGAAGAGGGTTCCCCTAAAAGTGGGACAAACCTGACCTCTGTCTCCTGTCTTTCTCTGGGGCCAAGCCTGGCTGTGGGGGTGAGGGGAGATCCCAAACCCACATGGACACTGTCCCCCAAACCACCAGTTTTCAGGGAGGGACTTGTGTCCTTGGCAACAGAGGAGCCAAGTTGGGGTCAAAATTCCAAATCAAGCAGGGGCCCTTGATTCCAAATGCCTCAATTTACTCACCTATGAAATAGATGCAACCTCTCATTCCCCATGTCGGGGCCTGGAACGAGCCAACCAGGCTTAAATCCCAGCTCTGCTGTTCCCTAGCTGCACCACCTCTTGCCTCTCAGTTTCCCCATGTGTAAAATGGGTGTGATAACAACAGTATGTGCTCCCTGGGAGCACTGTGAAGATCATATGAGATAATCCATGCAGAGTACCCAGCACATAACAAGTACTCAATTAAACACTAGTCGTAATTGGGGCCGGCCCAGTGGCTCAGCGGGTTAAGTTCACAAGTTCTGCTTCGGCAGCCTGGGGTTCGCCAGTTCGGATCCCAAGTGCGGACATGGCACCACTAATCAAGCCATGCTGTGGTAGGCATCCCACATATAAAGCAGAGGAAGATGGGCACGGATGTTAGCTCAGGGCCAGTCTTCCTCAGCAAAAAGAGGAGGATTGGCAGCCGATGTTAGCCCAGGGCTAATCTTCCTCAAAAAAAAAAAAAAAAAAAAGAAACAAACAAAAAAACCCCACTAGTTATTATTAATGGTATTCAGGACCACAGAGAGACACACCGCTGCTTGAGCCACTTCCAGGGGAGGCCCTCTGCTCCTCCAAGGGGAGGGCCCCCTGTCACTGTCCAATACATGGCTCAGGTCCCCACTGCAAATGGGGAAACTGTGGCCAGAAGGTTAAGCCACTGGCCCAGCGTCACCCCTGGGGAACCATGGCAGGAAATGGGGAAAAAGGGCCCAAGATGGGAGGAGGTCAAGTTAAAGGATGGAGTGTGGAAAAGGGGGCCCTGGGAAGGCACTGCCCCCATATGCCTCCCCCGGGGGCCCCAGCTTTAGGAAGCTCACGCTTCCTGAGCATCTAGGCCCCCTGCTGGATGCTCCACATCCATTACCTTATTTCTCACAGCAGTCCTGAGAGGCATTATCGTCCCCATTTTGCAGAGGGGAAACTGAGGCCCAGAGGTGAGGAGTGATCTGCCCAGGGTCACACAGTGAATCAGTGGCAGAGGGAGGACTAGAGAACTCCAGGTGCCTGACGCGTAGGTCAGGGTTCTCAGGGCCTGCCCAGCCCCTCCCAGAGCTTCAGCTCCCTCCCTTCCTCCCCTTTGGATTCCTTCCTACCTTGAGGCTGACATTGCTGGTGCTGCCCTGGCCCTGGGCCAGGTCAGGGCAGCTCTGGCCACCCCAGGGCCTGGGAAGGAAGCACAGGGAAGAAAGTGAAGTAGCTTCCTCCTCTCCCATCCCCAAGACTGGACCCACTTCTCTCAGGGTCCACAGGCAGGATGAGCTCCTGAAACCTGGTCGCGGGAGGTCTGTGCTGCAGCCTCCTCTCCGCTCCCTCCCTCGGCATCCACTCCACCCCAGACAGAGAAAGAGACAGGGATGGGCTTAGGGCAAAAATTGGGACTAGGCCTATATTAGGGTCAGGATAAAGAAAAAAGACAGTGCCCCGATCATTTAAAAGCTCGCCATCTGCTGAGGCCCTCCCTGGGCCAGGCTTAGCACTAGGCATTGTGCCTGCATGATCACCTTTAAGCCACACAATAATCCTAAAAGGTGGGTATTAGTGCCCCCATTGTTCAGATGAGGAAACTGAGGCCCAGAGAGGTGAAGTGACTTGCCTGGAGTCACACAGCTAGTGAGCCTTGGAGTTAAGACACTGGGACCAAGTGAAGTTAAGACATTGGGACATAAGGCTGGTTGGACATCACTGTACTAATGGGGGAAAGATGAAGAAGCGCCTTGGCTGCCTCCTCCGGGCACTCTGCCCCCCCCCCCCCCAGGCAATTAGCAGGGATCGGAGGCCTGGGCCTCAGTGCTGGAGTCCCATTGCCACAGCTGGTGAGAACAGAGTCCAAGTGCACACAAAGGGATGTGTCATCCTGCTGGCCCAGGAGCCTGCGCAGTCACCACCCCCCCGCCCCCCCACCCAGCCTTCCACATGCCTGACTCACCTGCACCCCAACCCCACCTCCTCTCAAGTGGGGAAAGGGAGGGGCAGTGCCACCTGGGCCTATAGGATAGTTTCCTGCCAGACAGGGTAAAGGAGGAGGGCGTGTCCTCCAGGTGGGGGTGGGCAGGACACTGGCAGGGTGTGGGCACCCCTGGGCACCCAGGCTTCAGGCATAGTCCCCTCCCCTCTCTTTGGGGTGAGAGAGCAGTACACACCCCTCCCCTCGCTTTGCTCTCACCACGCCCCCACCCCTCCCAGGGCAGGCTGAAGACAGCTGTCATGATAAGATCAGAACAAATTGCTGGGTAACTGCACAGACACACAAACACACATACCTGACAGCACACCCCAAGCTCTTTTTGGATATGGGGTTCAAGAGCTACTGGGGTCCTCTTGACGCTCCCCTCCCAGCCGTTCTACTCAACCATCCACACAGCCTTTTTCCCTGCACTCAGATATCAGCTAACAGTAAATGGGCCCAGAGAGATGAAGTCATTTGTTCAAGGTCTCATGGCCAGTGACACCTGGGGTTAGGACAGAGCCCTGGCCCCTGGCTCACAGTCTCTCAAGGCAACAGAGCAGCCCAGAGTGTCAGGATGCGAGCTCTGGAGTCAGACTGCTCACGCTTGTCTCCTGGCTCCACTACCTCCCAGCTGTGTGACTTTGGCCAGGTGATGTCACCCCTCTGAACCTCCATTTCTGCATCTGAGTCACACGGAATATCTGCCTCATCAGAGCTGCTGTGAGGATTAAATGAGATTATCCAGGTAAAGCACGAAGCAAGTGGCAAATAAAGGGTTATTGTTCTTACAATCTGGGACGAGAGGGGACAACCTCTCTGTGGCATGTAAGGGCAAATGCAGTGCAGTCTAAGACAGCTCAGGAACCTGTCATACTCAGGACCAGGGGACGCGGAGACCAGAGGTAAACTGGTCTGTGATGTGAGATTCAAAGTCCACAGGGGCGGAAGGAACTATTGCATTTCGCTTAAACTGTCTCCTCTGGTGAGGAAATCCTAGTCTGCCGGCCACCAAATTGCAAAAGTGGTTTTTCACGTTGTAAAAGAGCAGAGGGACTTGATAAAGATCGTTTCACATTCACGTATCCAACATCATGGTACATCCACAGGTGTATTTTCATGCCCCGAGAGAGACACTCGTACACACTTATTTGAACATCGACTACTCTCTGGCCCCACTCATCCCAGGCCCCTCTTTCAGGCCCATCTCGTGCAGGCCCAGCTTGGGAGTACATACACACACACACACTCACACACCATAGGACCCATGGGCGCCCCCCACAACACACGCACACCATAGGACCCAGGGGCGCCCCGCGTGGCCGTCCCCTATCCCCCTCACCTATCCGGGGCTCTGGCCTCCTTCGGGGTCCGCTTCTCCCTGCTTTCCCTGCGGACCCCTAGCCCGGCCAGGCGCCGGGCCAGGCGAGCCCCCAGGCCCCCGCGCCGCTCTGCCATGGCGAGGGCAAGGCCCCGGGCTTGGGGTTGCAGGGGCACCTGACCGCTCCGGGCAGCAGGGGCCACCCGGATCCGCTCATTTGCGGAGAAACGCCTCCTCCGGCCCGCCCCCCTGAGCAAACAGCCGCCCCGCCCGCAGTCTGTGCGGGCGGAGGACCTACCCAGAGGTGCCCATGTCCCAGGGGCTGTCCCCACCCGGGCCGCAGTCCCCGGGCTGCTACGCCGAGCCCCCTCTCGGAGGCCCTGCTCTCGGCCCTGTCCGCGCTACTTTTTTAGGCCTTCTAGAGGTGCCTGGGGCCCACCTGGTGCAAGTATCCCCCAGCCCCACCTCCTGACCCAAGCTGGGCCTGTACTATGTGGGCGGGGAGCGAGGGACCTGGGGTGAGCGGGGGCCAGGAGGCGGGGCTGAGTGGAAGGTCTTCCCCACCAGAAGGAGGGGGCGCTAGAACACAAGGGCGGGGCAATGGGAATGGGCGTGGTCTTGCCGACTGGGCGGGGCCTGACCCAAGTGGTTGGCATTGGCCCGGGGCCAAAAGGGTGACTGGGTGGTCTTGGCAGCTGGACTTTGATTATCTGTGGGGGCCGCAGCCGACCCTGCCATTGCTCTGCCGTGGTGGGCTCCCTCGGAGTTCTCTCTCGGTCCTGGAGAGCTTACGACAGAGCGGGAATCCCGCCCAGCGGGTAGGGAAGTCGCTCGGAAATCCACACGGGTGCGAACTGCGCCCCTGCTGCCAGTTAGCCGGCTATTATTCAAAAACAGCTGTTGTGATTTTAACCCTGGCCTCTTGCCTCCCAAGCAGAGTCCTTTCCCACCTGATGCTGCCTCTCTAACTCTCGGGTGGGGGTGGGGAACACTTGCACACTTGAGGGGATCCTCTGGGACAGCAAGGAGAAAGGTCATCAGGAGGGTCCCAGGTCCCCAGGCCCTCTCTGCCAGTTCTTCGCTGCCCTTGTAGTAGTCCTTGTAGGGCCTCTACCCCTTCCCTGAGCTCGGCACCCCTTTCCCTTAGCCTTTTGCCCTCTCTGGTGACTGGTCCTGGAACACAGGGGACATCATGCTTCTGGGTCTTGAGTGGACACTGACATCCTGCATTCCTGCCCCTCCACCCCGACAGGGGGCTCAGATCCTGGCATGTACAGAAGAATAAGCACAAACACCCCACCACCACCATGGCAGAGAATACCAGCTGAGGGGGCACAGGGGCCTCCTAGGAACTGAGAGACAAGCAGGTGGTGAGAAGCAGCAGACAGACATCTGGACAGGGGCTGGAAAATCTGTCCAGAAAAGAGGGCATTGTGCCCTGTGCTTGGCAACACAGTCTGCACCTTGCAGAGTCCTGGAGGGCTGGACTGTCCATCGGTGAGCTGAGATGGAGGGCCTGGTCCCCAACAGGCCCCAGACAGGAAGTGGAACCCCAATGCCCTCAGAGGTAGATGGCTGCAGGCACCCACCCTTGCACAGGCAGCACAGGCTCTTCTTGGCTGTCTCCTGACCTGCTCCCAGGTGGGGTGTGAGGTCTGGCAGATACATGGTGGCTTCCTCCTCCACTGTTGAAGCTCAGGAGGCCTCGACTCATCAGAGAAAATCCTTTAATTGCTCTGCCCCTCCCCCCTCCCCAGGGAAGTCCTGGCACCATTGGTCAGGCTGGTTGCCCTTGCTTTCTCTGCGATGCCAAGGTCATCTTGACCTTGTCCACATCCCAGCCCATCTGCCTCTCTGATGGAGCTGCCACAAGATCTCGTTCCCCCTGGTGCCATCGGGCAAGGCAGGCAAGAGACTCCAGGGGCAGGTGGGTGTGGGCTAGGCCACAAGGCTGTGGGGCATGCAGCCGATGGTGCAGCTTCAGGTGAACGTGCTGGGTGAAGCGACTCAGGCAGACACTGCACTGGAAGGGCCGGGCCCCTGAGTGCAGGCGCAGGTGGGTCTTGAGGTTGCTGGAGCTGCTGAACCGCTTGTGGCACATCTGATGAGAATGGGCACTGGTGTCAGCTCTGCTCAGGATCTCTGCTCCTCCCCCACATCTTGGAAACATCCTATCGCCACCTCCCTGTAATGCAGGCTTGGAAGCTTTCCCCTGATGATTTCTCCCTGGGACCCACAGAGTCTGGCATGTTGGAGCCAGGCAGACCTGCGTTAGTACCCTGGTTCTTTTACTTCCTGTGTGACCTTCTATAGGTGACTTCCCCTCTCTGAGCCTTGCTCTCCTTATTGGCAATGTGCGACTATTAATACCTAACCTCATAAGTATGGTGGACTGAATAAGATAATAGCAGACAACCCTTGTGCGTGGGGCTGCAGCTTCAGCGGGCGTAATTAACATTTACTAGAGCTGCCACATGCCAGGAATTGATCTCACATAGATTTCCCAAGTACTAGTAACTCCTATATTACAGTGGGAAAGCAGAGGCTCAGAGGAGTGAAGCTACTACCCAAAGGTCACACAGCAAGTTAGAGGCAGAGCTAGGATTTGAACCCAGGTAGCCAGACTCATAACCACTACGTTGCTTTCCTTTCTGCCTCCGAAAACAGGGAGAGTCCCTACCTGTCTGACCTTCTAAGGGACATGGTGAGGCTCAAAGGGGCAGGGTGCTAACACTGAGCTCTTGTTATACATAGTGCTTGTATATTTTGCACACACTATGGCATTAACTCCTCCGGCAATGCTGGGAAGTAGGTAATGGGTATCCACTCCCCAGGACCCCCCAACTTCATTATTCTCCCCTCAGAGATGTACATCTCTATTCCCCCCTCCAGGCCCAGGGAGTGACTCCAATATCACATCCTGGCCCTTCCAGGCTGAGGGGGGTCATTTTCAACCCCCTCCACCTACCTCCCCACCCCACTGTCACTTCCTGTCCTGTCTCCACTTTTTCAGGAGGATTGGGGAATGGAGGCTACAGGTGCCATTCCCCCAGGGCCTGGAGCTCCTCACCAGCCTGCACGAGCACAGGGGAGGGGAGTAGGGTCTCACCGGGCACTTGTGGGGCCGCTCCCCAGTATGTACCAGGTGGTGCTTCTGCAGGTGGGCGAGCTGGGTGAAGCTCTTCTGGCACAGGGCACACTGGAACGGGCGCTCCCCACTGTGCACACGCAGATGGACCTGAGCCAGGTGTGGGAGAAAAGCTGCCAACTGCCCAGAGGCCCCCAGCAGGGCCAGGGATCCTCTCTGAATCTCTACCCACAGCCCCACAGGATCCCTTTTTGACATCAGAGACTCTCAATCCCCTTTCCTCCCTATCACCCACCTCAGGGCCTCTCTACCACTCCCCAGGATCCCCCTTCTCTTTCTGCAGCCCTGCAGGAGGGGAGAAGGCCAGGTAAGGGGTACCCCATGTATATATATCCTGAGCAGTGCTTCTCAAAGGGTGGTCCACAGACCAGCAACATCAGCATCACCTGGGAGCATGTTATAAAAGCAGATTCTCAAGCCCCACCCCAGACCAGCTGCATTAAAATCTCTGGGGCTGGGCCCTAGGAATCTGCATGTTCACTAGCTCTCCAGGTAGTTTAAGGCTCATTAAAGTTTAAGAGCTCATGCCCTAGAGGATCCAGAAGGGCCCTTCCCTGATAACCACAACTTTTCCTTAACTTCAGCGGTTGCCAACTTGCGCATAGCTTTCAGTCTTTGCTCACACACAGAGATGCGCCCATGGTCGCCCCCTGCTGGGCACTGCCGATGGTGACACCAACAGCACCGGGGCTGGTTTGTGGGATCCCACTTGAAAAACGCTGGTTGTCGGGTCTGTGGTCTAGACTCAGTGAGTCTCAGTGAAATCTGCCTGTTTGTTCCCCCACCTGACTTTCCAAGAAATAAACAAGAGGAGGCTTAAACTGGGAATCCAAAAAGCATGGTTGTTCAGGAAAGGGCTTTGCACTAGATGCTGAAAGACTGAGATCAAGGCCTACCTCCACTATTAAATCAAATTGATCCCGGGCAAACCCTTCCCATTAGGGGCCTCAGTTTCTCTATTTTTAACTTAAATGAAATGGTCTCATGGACAGTCTTTTAGGGTGGAGCGGACTTGGGTGGCCATTTTATCCTGTATCTCCTCTCTACAGTCGTGAAACTGAGGGACCATCAAATGGACCATCCTAGAGGCTGCTCAGGAGTTCCTTCTGGCTTTAAGGTTCTTGATCAGGAAGCAGAAGCAGGATGGGAAGGGGGTCATTGAAGAATGCCTAGAGGGACAGCAGAGTCCAGGAGGCAGATACCTTGAGGTTGGAGAGCTGACCGAAGCTCTTGCCGCACACATTGCAATCGTACAAGATTTTGCCATTCTCTTTCTTCAGCGGGTAAGGCAGGGCTGTGGTGCCCGCCCGGAAGCCCGGTGGGGCCCGCTTTGCTGGAGCTACCTCGCCAGCACGCTCCAGCCCTGGGGAGTAGGGCCTGGCAGCTCCAGGGCCTGGATTCCTGGTCTGGGAGGGTTGAGTTTGGCCAGGGTCTTGGGAGGTCCCTGGGTAGGGATGCAGGGTCTCCCCAGGGGCACTGTGGGGCCCAGGGTCATTGACAGTCATCAGCAAGCTGGGCATAGCCATGGTGGGATAGGAGGTGTCTTGGGGCAGCATGAAGAAGGGAGGAAATGGGAGAGAAGGTAGGGCCCCATAGGTGAACAGGTAAGGTGGAGGCAGGAGAAGTGGGTATGCAGGATAGAAAGGGTGGAGATGGAATGGGAGTTCTTTGGAGCTGGGAGCAAGCAGGCGGCAGGAGCAGAAAGCCAAGGGGCTGGGGCTCCCTCCATTCTGCCAGGGAGTTGGGGAAGAGCTGTTGTGAAGAGGGAAGGATGGGCAGGAGGCCCCTTTGCCATCTCTTTCTGGTCGGCTTCCCATCTTGTCTCTGCTCTGAGGGTACTTAGCTGTGAGTTTCTGGTCATCGGTAGAGTCAGCATGTGGCCCTGGTGACTGGTGCTCTGAGCAGGAAAGGGAAGACGGTCAGTGCCCCCCAGCATGGGGTAAAGTTCTGCTCCCCATCTACCCTGCCCAGCCCAGGGTTGGGAGAGGACTCTAGCCTGCAAGCCTGCTGGGCGACTTGGGCAAGGCGTTTTCTCTCTCTGGGCTTTCCTGGTCTGCAATTGCACTTGCCAATAAAAGTGGCTAGTATTTGTGCCATGCTTAACAATTCTAGGGCGAGAAAATGGCTCAAGAAGCCTATTAGACAGTGAGGTGGAACAGTCAAGTGGTCAGTTGGATAAAGTGCTGTGGAGTTTAATGGAGAGGTCTGAGCCAGAGACAAATTTGGGTGCCATGGGCCCAAATGAGATCACATAAGGGTGACACCAGATCTACTGTGTCCAAAATGGTAGCCGCTAGATGCATATGACTACATTTAAATTAATTAAAGTAAGTACAATAAAAAGTTCAGTTTCTCTGTTGCACTAGCCACATTTAAAATGCTCAATAGGTATGATATTAGACAGCACAATATAGAACATTTCTATTATTCCAGGAAGTTCCATCAAACAGTGCTACGCTAGATAAAGAGAACAAGAGAGGAGAGAAGGAAAGAAGAGGGAAGGGGGAGGAGCAAAGAGGAGGAGAAAGGGGAGAGGAGGGAAGGGAAGACGGCTCTGGACTGAGTTCTGGAGCGTGGGAGTATTTAGGAGGTACATAGAGAAGAGCTAGCAAGGGAGACAGATGCCACGCCACAGCCAGTGAGGTAGGAGTTAGGCTAGGAGCGATATGGAGTAAGATATTAAAAAGAAAATAATTTTGAAAAGTAGATTGCTTGGATCCTCATTTATTCACTCAACCAACTCTACTGAGCTGTGTCACTCTGTGCTCTGTGCTGGGGAAATAAAGGACACGGCAGCATAGTGCCTGCCCTACAGGAGGTCACAGTCATGTATGGAAATGGTGGATTACAACGCGACAAACCTAGAATGCAGGTATAGTGAGAGCCTGTTTTTATAGAAGAAGAAACTGGCCTCAGTGGTGTGCCCGAGGTCATAGAGCTAGAAAGGCAGAACCAGGGCTCCCTCGCCAGCCCCCTGACTCCCAGTCAGTGCTCCTGTCTTATAATAAAGACCCCTCCGTCTCAAATGTTCCAGGCCATCCTGTATCCCCAGGACTTTGGCTACGCCTACACCAGATCCCACACCCATGTCTGAGAAAGCCACTGCCCAACTTCTCATCGCCACCTTGAAAGACCCCTGCGTCACCAGGCCAGAACTCTAGGCTAAAATGTGGAAGTAAGGGGTGCCTGAGGCTCTGTCCTCACCAGTGACACTGGGTCCCCTCCTACTCTGGTCAGGAAACCTAACAGTTCCCCCCACCTCCAACCTCCACCAAGGTGCAAACCCATGCCCTGGGCTTACTCGTGCTCAAGGCGTTCTCTTTGAGACTTTGTGGGGCTGTGCCCAGGGGTGCCGGCTGCAGGGCACACAGGTATAGGTCCAGGCCCTGGGGACAGGCCAGCAGGGCAGACCTGGCCAATGCCCACGGCAAGGGGCACAGCCAGCTGGCACAGGACAGGCCATGGGCATCCACTGTATCTGGAAGTGACCTGCGGGCTGGGAAAACCTGGAGGGCAGGGGGCAAGGGGCTTGGGGGCTGGGGGCTGGGACTCCTGAGTCCCTAGGATGTTCCCACCCCTAGTTTGGTTTCCAAAGTGGGAGGAGAAGCTAAGACCCACCACCACCATATCTGTCACTCAAATGGATTCCCCTTCCCTTATCCAAAGATTTCTTTCCCCAGGGACTTTGGCGCCCACCCTAAGATTGCCCTCCTGCTGCCCCCTAGAACCCCTTGCCTGGTCCTGTTCTCCCTTCCACCCTCCTTTCCCAGCCACCCTGGTCCCATCGTGTCTCAAACCATCCACTGTGTTTTGAATGGAGCCAAGGTAAACTTGGAGAAAATCTTCATCAAAGACTGTAAACCTCAGAGGATGGCCCTGAGCCTCACTCCCCCTAAGGCCCAGGCCATGGTCATACAGCCAAGCCTCCTTCGTGGCCCAGTCCCTTCTCATGTCCCACAGGAGAATCTGACCCCTGGCACGTGGGAGAGGGTCTCTGGCACCTCAGGGGCACGTCCCCATGACGTGCCAGGGCAGGAGTGCTCAGGAGCAGGGGATGATGGGAATCTAGGTCCCTTCAGATTTCCCCCAGTTCCTCCTAAGGTCCCCTCCCTCCTTAAGCAGGCTGGTCTCAAAGATGGGGCTGGGACCCCACCTTACCTGGTTGCCTTGGCAGAGCTGGAAGTCCAGGCTGGGGGACAGGGAGCCCCTTGTGCTCCCCAGGGTCTTGGTCTTATGGCAACAACCCAATTCTGGAGCGGGTTCCCTTTTTATGCCCCCATTACCTGCTGGGAAGACAGGTCAGTCACAGATTGCCAGTGAAGGTCCTCCAGATAGGACCCTGGATTCTAGGGCTGGCTCTTCCACTAAACCATCGTGTGATCTTGAACCAGTCACCACCCCTCCTGGCCTCAGTTTCCCTATCTGCAAAATGGGAAGGTTGGACTGGCTGATGTGTCAGGACTTTCTCAGTGCTGATATTTGGAAGCCAACAACGCTTTCCTAGTAGGTGCAGGAAGAGGATTGAATGGAGACTAGCCAATCAGAGACGAGGAGAAAAGCTAGCCTGATCCCCATCCCTGGGGAAGAGAGGAGAGAAGGTCCTCATGGAGGTTACTTCCAAGTGAGCTCAGAAATCTCGGGGAGCATTCTAGACTTCCTCAGGGCCACAGGGAATTGAGAAGCCACTCCCTTCTACACTGGGCAGGACTCATGACTCTCCCAACCACAGACTCCCCACCGAGGGGTGCCCCTGCATCCTGGCTTCTCCACACAACTTTTCTGGGCAGCTGAGGGAGCCCCTGTGTCCTGCCACTCAGACTGCCCAGGCTGAGATCCCTCGCCAGGGACAGTCTGAGAGAGTGGGCCAAGAGTCCCCAGGTCCCCTGACTGGCCTGGCAGGAAGACGCCCTGAGTGCTCAGCTGGCTGTCTGCTTAGTTAGTACCAGCTTCTTGGCCATCTTTCATTGGAGGCCACACAGCACAAGGATCACCTCAGCTCAGCAAATGCCCCAGGGTCCCCCAGTCCCCCAGGAACTACCCTTCTCTCTCTAACACCAGGTGCCCCTCGAACCCTCGCACCCTCCCTCAGCACAGCACCCTCACTCCGGCGTCTCAGCCCTCCAAAACCCAGGATCCTACCCTCCTTCCCGACTCCTCCTAACCCTGCCCCAGTCTCAAGACAAATACCCCGAAAGGAGGGGCCGCCTGCGTGTGGCTATTCACCTGGCTCTGCAGAAGTCCCCTCTGGCTGGGGAAGGAAGAGGTGGGCAGGCGGGCAGCTGCTGCCTGGGGCTGAGGCCTCAGTGGGTGTGAGAGATGACAGGAAGATGCTACATTTGAAGTTGCCACAAATAGGAAGAGGGGGGCAGGCAGGCAGGCTGGGGCCTTGCAAGAACTGACAAGGGGGAGCCTCCCACCAGCCTTTACCTACCTGTGGCAACTCTCCAGGCCAATGTGATTTCTGGACCGCCATGAACTGGGACTTCTGGAATTTCAGTATGTGGGAGCAGGGTGGGATGAGGGTTGCTATCTCTGGTTCTCGGGGAACCTAGATGGCTGAACAGTAGATGGACAGAGGGCTCAAAGGCTGGAGCTGGAGTCCTTCTGGGGACAGGGGCCCAGCTGAGACAGAGATGGGCAGTGATGATGACAAGGAAGACAGTGGTGGTGATGGTAGGGACAGGAACAGGCAGAGACAAGAGCAGGCAGCATAGGATACAGGGTGAGACAGAGAAGAGAGCAGGAACCTGATCTCACAGAGCAGAGGCCCAGGAGGCAGCAAACACATCTTCCTCCTCATTGTCCCATCTTTGCTCTCCCTATCCTGGGATATCCTTTCTCTAATCCAGAGAGAGCACTGAGGACCCAACAGGACAAGAGATAATCCAAGGACACAGTAAAATGCTTGTAAGGCATGACTAGGTATCAAAAGGGAGGTCTCTTAGGCCAGGAAGCTGCTTTTTAGAGGGAGCAATTGCATTATTCCTGTGAGCAGGAGAAGATGCAACACCCCTGGGGCCTCACAGAAATTCTGCCCAGTTGATGTGTCCACATTGCACAGTGTCTGGCCCAGTGTGACACAGCCCCAACCCGTCATCAAACTCCACCCCAGCCATGCCACCCATGTGGCCTGGGACACACAGGGACATCTCAGACTTTTCACCATGGGCCAGGGACATATTATTGAAGTTTCTCTACCAGCTCAGCCTCTGGCTAGTACTCACCTCTGCTGTGGCCTCCATCTCCTCCTGTCATAATTATTTGCCCACGTAACTGACCCCTATGTGACTGTGAGTGTCTCAAGGACAGGGACTACTGTCTATTCATTTTTGTTTCTCATGTAGACATTTATTAGGGTTTTTGGGTGCCCAGCATCTGGAAGCTTTTTCCCCACAGGAGTCTGGAGGGAGGTAGAAAGCAGCTCCCACTATAAATGCCAAAATGGCCACATGTTTGATTCCAATCTGCCTGCCCCAGGACATGATATGGACACATGAAAAGGACCAGGTCAATTGGATGCCCTCATCCAGACTGTGACTCAGAAGCCAGCCCAGAGGTGGCGGGTCAGTGGAGACTCCATATTGCAAATGGTGCCACATCAGCTTCCAGGGTGGCAGAAGAGAGAAGTGTTCAGAGGGGGTTGCAGAGCCCTCTCTGTGTTGGTCCTGGGGCTCCAAGCCCCTGTTGACCCAGCTTGTTCTCCAAGCCTGGCTCTGCAGCTCTCACAGACCTTCTGTGTGCTTCCCCAACATCTTTTAAATGAATTCCTTTTATCCTTAAATCCTCCTGAAATGGTTTCTGTAGCTTACAACCAAGAATCCTGCATTATGCATGCCCCGAATAGAAGATGAAACAACAGGGCTCAGGCTGGAATATTCCAAGAATCAGGGTAGATAGCTACCTTTACAAAGAGCTTACTATGTGCCTGGCCCTGTGCTAGGGGCTGCATAAGCTTTATCTCATTTAATCTTCACAATAAGCCTGTGTGGTTGGTTTTATCATCTGCATGATGAAGGAACAGAAGCTAAGAGAGAGTAAGCAATTCACCCAGGCATACAGCAAGTAGCCAAGAACTCTCTAGTGCTAATCGTCAGATTCCACTGTCTCTTGGCCATGTCAGCCCACCTGCTCTGCTTCATTTCTGCCCCTCATGCTCCCTACCGACGTGTGTTCACAGTGCCCAGATGGCCCTCCCCAGCCTTGCTCCCCTTTCCCAGCTGCCCTCTTAGTATCCTTAAGATTAGTGGAGGAGCTCCTCCTATGGCACCCCTTGCTCTCTTGGTCCACAAAACTCCACTCCCCAAAAGCTAGAGCCCTGACTCTCAGGCCACTAGCCCGCCTCTCCTACTGTCTTGCTGGAATCACAAGGGAGCAAGAGTCTCGCTGGGCACCCACAGAATAACCTGCTCACATCTCTGATGAGGATTCACACACACCTTTGGCTTCCATCTGCCAACTCCATTCCCTCCTGGCATCACACTCTGCTCCCAACTCTCAGAAAAGTCTGTACAACCTCTTGGTTAAACAAAAAAGGAAATGACCTTGGAGATGTCCAGGTCTTCAATCTCTGAAAGGCCTGGCTAGGAATGTCCTGGGTGGTGTGCCGAGAACACAGTCACTCAAGTTCCTACCCAAAACAGCCTCTACCTGCCAACCCCTTCTCCCATCTCCTAGGCCCTGCCAGGTCCTCTGTCCTGTCAGCCCCCAAGTCCATTGTGATGTCACCAGCCTAACTCTGACGTCACTATGTCCCACGTCTCCTGGAGAGTAGTACAGGGGTAGGACCGTGGCCTCCTAACCCAGGATGCAGATGAGAGACCCAAGCCAAGGCAAGTCCTCGGTGACCAGAGGGGTCTTGGGAAGTGCTCGTGGAGGGGAAGTAGGGTTGAGGGGCCTTCAGGGATGTGTGGGAGACACTAGGGAGGCCTCTGAAAAGACGCAGCATCTGGAGCATGGAGCAAGAGCTGGAGAGATGGACAGGGGTCCTCAGGCTCCTGGCTCACTGCACACTTACTTTCTTCTTCTTTCTGTTAATTACAAAATAATACGTCCTAGTGGTAAACATTTCAAACAACAGAGAATATAAAGATAAAAAATGGAAGCTTGCCTCCTTCATAATTTCCCAGTGGTTTTTTTATCCATCCAGACATTTATCTATGAAACTACAAACAGGTAAATGGGCTTTTTGATTTTGTTTTTATACAAAAATGGATTATACAATGCATGCTATTCCGCAGCTTTTTCTATCCAACAATCTACTGTGGCCATCATTTCATTCCAGAACATACACATCTGCCTCCTGCTTTTTCCTAACTATATAGTATTCCATTGTGGGGATGGACATAATATGTAGCATCCTTCTATTGGTGGACTCCAATTTTTCCCTGTCCCACACAAGACTGGAAAGGGCCTCCACACAGAGGCAATATGCAGAGAGGTTAAAAATATTAGCTCTCCTGGATTTAATCCCAGCTCTGTGACCTTATGGCAAGTTGCTTAACTTCCCTGTGCCTCTTTCCTCATCTGTCAAATGGGGATAATAACAGTACGTGCCTCACAGGGATCTTTTGGGGATTCCTCAAGATAGTTCATATAAAGCCCTTAGAATGGTTCCTGGCCCAAAGCGAGCACTTGACAAACGTGAGTTTCTGCTACTTTTGTACATCAATCTTTCCCTGGTTAGGCAAGTATCTGCAAGCCAGCTTGCTAAAAGTGTTAAAATGGTGATGGATGTTCCTGGCTCACTTTGGAGGACCAGAAGTTGGGCAGCACGCTTGAAGAGATTAACTCCATTCAGTTTTATTGCTTTATTCATTAACCCCTGGTTGGAGACCACTGCTCTCATCCAACGCAGTCTTGCCCCCACACCAGTCTACACACTGTTATAGTACTAGCTGTTGGCACCTGAGTGCTCACCACGTGCCGGGGACCCTGCGAAGCACTTTGATGTGCTTTTAACTCAGTCAACACAATGACCCTGCAAGATGGATGCTTTTATTCCTGTTTTACAGGTAAGAGATGCAGAAGAAAAGTGACTGGCTCAAGATCACATGACCCAAGTTGAGGCTGCGACCTCCCAGAGGGAAAGGAGAGCTCAGGGAAGAATCGCGGGAGGGAAAGCTGGGAAGAGGTAAAAAGGGCCACAGAGGTGGAGCGGCAGAGTCTGGATTCCCTTCAGGCACTGAAGAAGCCCCAGAAAAATCAGGATTGTCAGAGGCCCAAGTTAAGGACTGGGAAAATAAACTGTGGAATTAGCATCCGGCACCCTGGAAGAACCCCAAGGACCTGTTGTTCATTCCTTCAATCACTCATTCATTCACATATTTATTGATTGCCAGCTATGCAGCAGGCATTGGACTAGTAGCTGGGAATATAGCCCACACGAATATGACTTAGACCTTGGAATTTACAGTCCAGTTATCAGAAGGCTTGGTGGATGTTGCTGAAATAGAAAGTGGTGTGCAACTATCAGGGTTTATTATTATTAGGGTAGGGGTTTGGGAAGAAAAGTAGAGCCAGGGGTGTCAGGTTGGCTGGTGCAATATGAAAGAGAAACAGTGGAACCACAGGCAGAAACCCTATTTCCTCTTTGAAACCTTCAAAAATTTCTCCAATCCATAAGCAACCTTGAGGCCAGCCAGCTGAGTTCCTGGCAAGCTCAGTGCATGGGGTAGCTCTGTTGCACAGATACTTTTGAAGGGCACCAGGTAAGGAGTCCAGGCTGGGAGGGAGTCTGGGAGCATCACTGGTTTAGAGAGTTAAGCAGCTTTATGGGATGTGACTTGGAGCACAGGGTTGAGGGTGGGGAGCTCAGCCCAGTCCACTGTGCTCTCACCTCGCCCCTCCCTGTGGTTGACACCTCCCGCCCTCTGCCTGACACCCACTTATCTTATTTCATCAGACAGCCTGGCTGTCAGTCTATCAGATGTAATGAGTTTGCCTTTGGCTTCACACCCTAGGGTGGGGAGATCCTGAGATAGGGTGCGCCAGCTCTCACATTTGCAGAAGGGGCCTCAAGACTCTTGCATCTTCCTTGCACTCACCTGTGACCGTCCAGTCCTTCTGTGGAAAAAATTGCAAATATGTCTTCAAATGACATCTGAGGTCATCCCACCTTTTCCCTCATCTCAACCAGTCCAAGAGGATAGGAGATAAAAAGAGGTATGCAGCTGGAATTAAAATCCAGTCAAGCTAATATACTCCCACTATGCAAAACTGCCTACGATGTACATGGATGGTTCTTTCCAGCCTTGTGTGAAACAGGTGGAAAAAGTTGGAATCCACCTATGTGTCTGCCATTAGAGGAATGCTACATATTATTTACATCTGTGCAACTGAATACTATGCAGCCAGGAAAAAGCAAGGGGTAAATTTATTGAGCACCTCCTATATGCCAGATCCCTTTACAATCATCTCATTTAGTCTTCCTCAAAATCTTCCAGGGTAGGAATTTGATGTCCCCATTTTACAGATGAACAAAGAAAGACTCAGCAAGGGTAAACTAGGCAGCATCAACTCAAATGTCTACAGCGGCCACATAGTTAACGTAAAGAGGTCCAGAAATAAGTATGGTACAAATGGTACCTGAAACTCAGCCTTGGTGTCAGGATTAACAGGGAGAGGTGGGGACTGAGGCAAACCAGCAAGTGTGGGCCGTTCACCACGTCTCAGCATAAATAGAGGCCAGTGTTGCCAGAGGTTCTGACTTTTCTAGAGAATCTGAAAATCAGGATTTTTATGTGAAATCTCTAGATTTTTTTCTTAAAGTGGTTCAAATGTTTTTAAATAATGTGCATGCCAGTCAGATCTGCATGCCAAATTCAGCTGTCTCTGTCCAAGGTCCCAGAGCTCCAGCCCTTTCCATGTTTACAGCTGTCCCGAAAAGATATGACCCAGATGGCTTCCACCAAACGTTCAAAGAATTAGTGCCAATTCTTTACAACCTCTTCCCAAAAACGGAGGGAACACTTCCTGATTCATTCTTTGAGGCCAGTATTACCCTGATACATAACAAGAAAATGGCAGACAAGGATCTCTATGAATATAGATGCCAAAATCCACAAGAAAATATGAGCAAACAAGCCAGATAGAGAGAAAGACAAACACCATATGGTTTCACTCATATGTGGAAGATAAACAAACACATGGACAAAGAGCACAGATTAGTGGTTACCAGAGGGGAAGGGGTGGGGGAGTGGGTGAAAGCAGTAAAAGGGCACACGTGTGGTGACAGATAAAAACTACTAGAGTATTGGTGGTGAGCATGATGCAGTCTATACAGAAACTGGTATGAAATAATGTACACCTGAAATTACACAATGTTATAAACCAATATGACCTCAATAAAATAATTAAAAGAGATATATATATATGAGCAAACAGAATCCAGCCCCACAAAAGAAGGATTATATACCATGACCAAGTGGGATTTATACCAGAAATGGTTTAACATCCAAAAGTCAGTTAACATAATACACTATATCAATAGAATAAAGGAGAAAAGTCACAAGATCATCTCACGCAGAAAATGCGCTTGACAAAATCCAACACCCTTTCAGGATAAAAACACTCACCCAACTGGAAAAAGGGAACTTCCTCATCCTAACAAAAGGCATCTACGAAAAGCACACGGCCGATGTCTTAATGGTGAAAGTCTTGTTGCTTTCCCTCTCGGATCAGGAGCAGGACAAGGATATCCACTCTCACCGCTTCTATTCAACATTGTCCTGGAGGTTTTAGCCAGGGCAATTTGGCAAGAAAAAGAAGTGAAAGGCATCCAGGGGCCGGCCCGGTGGTGCAGCGGTTAAGTTCGCACGTTCTGCTTCTCGGCGGCCCGGGGTTCGCTGGTTCGGATCCCGGGTGCGGACAGGGCACCGCTTGGCACGCCATGCTGTGGTAGGCATCCCACATATAAAGTAGAGGAAGATGGGCATGGATGTTAGCTCAGGGCCAGTCTTCCTCAGCAAAAAGAGGAGGACTGGCAGTAGATAGCTGAGAGCTAATCTTCCTCAAAAAAAAAAAACACAAAAAAAAAAAAAAAAAAAGAAAGGCATCCAGATTGAAAAAGAAGAAGTAGACCCAGCCCTGATGGCCTAGAGGTTAAAGTTGAGTGTGCTCCACTTCGGCAGCCCAGGTTTGGTTCCTGGGCATGGAACCACACCACTCATCTGTCAGTAACCATGCTGTGGCGGTGGCTTGCATAGAAGAACCAGAAGAACTTACAACTATACAGAACTATGTACTGGGGCTTTGAGGGGGGGAAAAAAGGAAGAAAAAAGGAGAAAGATTGGTAACAGATGTTAGCTTGGGGCAAATCTTCCCCTGCAAAAATAAATAAAAATTAAAAGGGGCCAGCCCAGTGGCATAGTGGTTAAGTTTGCGCACTCTGCTTTGGTGGCCCAGGGTTTGCAGGTTCAGATTCCAGGAACGGACCTAGCACTGCTCATCAAGCCATGCTGTGCTGGCATCCCATATAAAATAGAGGAAGATTGGCAAGAGAAGTTAGCTCAGGGCCAATCTTCCTCATCAAAAAAAAATTCAATAAAAAAATACACAAAAGAAGTAAAACCATTT